TAGTAACCTTCCTCCAACCTGACAGTTCACCTTTCAATGTGACCCGCTGTAGTCTCCCCTTTAACCAGTTGCTTATCCACCTCTCAACTTTCATATTAATCCTTATCTTTTCCAATTTAACCAATAATTCCCCATGTGGTACTGTATCAAATGCCTTACTAAAGTTGATGTAGATTAGGTTTGGCACGATCTACCTTTTGTAAAACCATGTTGTAATTTGTCCCAATTGCCATTAGCCTCAATGTCTCTAACTACTTTCTCCTTCAAAATTTTTTCCAGGATCTTACATACTACAGATGTCAAACTAACAGGCCTATCGTTACCCGGGTCGCTTTTTTCCCCTTTCTTAAAAATCGGAACTATATTAGCAATTCTCCAGTCAAATGGTACAACCCCTGAGGTTAGAGATTTATTAAAAATTTTTGCTAATGGACTTGCAAGTTCATGTGCCAGTTCCTTTAATATTCTTGGATGAAGACCATCTGGGCCCCCCGATTTACTTCCATTAAGCTGTTCAAGTTTGGCTTTCACCTCGGATATGGTAATATCTACCTCCTTATCCTCAGTCCCATTTGTTAACTTACCATTATTCCTAAGATCTTCATTAGCCTCATTAAAGACTGAAGCAAAGTATTTGTTCAAATATTGGGCCATTCCTAGATTATCCTTAACCTCCACTCCATCCTTAGTAATTGGTCCTACTTCTTCTTTTTTTGTTTTTTTCCTATTTATATGGCTATAAAACCTTTTACTATTGGTTTTAATTCCCTTTGCAAGGTCCAACTCTACCTGACTTTTAGCCTTTCTCACTTTATCCCTACATGCTCTAACCTCAATAAGGTAGCTTTCTTTACTGATCCCTCCCATTTTCCACTCCTTATATGCTTTCTGCTTGGTCCTACTTCTTCTTTTTTTGTTTTTTTCCTATTTATATGGCTATAAAACCTTTTACTATTGGTTTTAATTCCCTTTGCAAGGTCCAACTCTACCTGACTTTTAGCCTTTCTCACTTTATCCCTACATGCTCTAACCTCAATAAGGTAGCTTTCTTTACTGATCCCTCCCATTTTCCACTCCTTATATGCTTTCTGCTTTTTCTTAATCACCTCTCTGAGATGCTTGCTCATCCAGCTTGGTCTAACACACCTGCCTATAAATTTTTTCCCTTTTCTAGGGTTTGCCCGCCAGTGGGTGCTGAGCCCTGCTAATTTTCCCGGTGGATGCTCCAGCCCCAGAGCACCCATAGAGGGTGCCTGGGTTAAAATACTGGCAGCTGGCTTGAATCCCATCTGTAGAAATGCTCCCAGCTTGGGTCCCCTTGCGGGTAGCAATGTGGGAAGTGTCTGGCAGCAAGCCGGGTGTAGAAAAGGCTGTTGTTCATGCTGTGTCTACATCAGCCCGCTGCAGTATTTACCAGCCTTCCTTCCTTTCCCATTTCCCTTGGCTCCCATCAAGGCTGGAAGCAGGAAGCATATGGGCCTGAGAGCCCAGCTTTGACTCCTCTCTGCCTTTTTCTCTCTCTCGCATCAGGGACTCTCTAGGATTTCAGGAGCCTGTGTAATACACGGGCAAAGTGTTTCTTTTTAACCTCTTTGCTGCCGGTCTCCAGGGAGATTTCAGTCCCCTTGCTACACGAACGCAGCAAACTCCGTGCATTGCCACTGGCCAACTGGGTGGGAATCTCAGCAGCCCAAGGCTGCATTTTACCCAGCACCTAAGGGCAACCTTGCAACTGCATTTCACCCCCATGCACCTCAATGGGCAGCACTGGAGGGCATCTGACCCTATATAACTGGCACACAGAGCAGCTGCTCACTTAACCTTGTCTAGCAATGAATCACCTGCCCCTATGTGACACCACTCTGCAGGGGTTGCTGCTAACCTGCCTTTGCTCCTGTTACATTGGCAATCAGGGGGCTCGGCAGCCTGCAGCCCTTCTTTGGGGACGTCCCCACCCGAGAACTTATCCTTGCTTTAGCTACCAGACCATCAGGGCATTTCTCTCGCCTGCCCCAGGGGTCTGAGGCTCTTCAGTCCCCAATTGGCTGCAATGCCCTGGAGGTGGTTAGGTGCAGCCCAGGAGCAGCAAGAGAAACTGTCTTGGCTCATGCACATCCTGGATACTGCCTGCAGCTCGTTATGAATAATCCATGCTGCCCTCGGGTAACCTCAGCTCTGCAGCCTACAGAAGAGTCTGCAAGCGGATTTCAGAGGCTGTGGTCTCCAGGGCGCCTGACCGGGAGAGGACATGGAAGTGGGTGGAGGAAGCAGATAACACACATGGCTCCCCTTTCCTTCCCCTCTGCCAAGAGCCTCCTAATGGATACCAGGCGAAGGGGGATGGCGGTAGAAAGCAACCTTGTGCTGACTCAGCGCTAGTCTGCTCTGGCTCAGATAGCCATGGCCTTGCTGCTTTCATCACCGCCGTTTGGTGCCTTCGTGCCCGACTCTGCCAGACATGTCCCCATCGGAGCAGGGGATTGGTTCACGGGCCCTCATGCCTGGGGCTGCCTGGAGCATACTGTAACACTATGCCATAGATTTAAATAATATACGGAGGTCGTGCCCTCCCCTCCCCTGAAAGAACTCTCTGAACCCCAGAGAGCTATAGCTGGGATGCAAATCAGGCCCACAATAGGAAACTCCACAGTTCAGGGGTCCACATCGTGGCCTTAGGCGGGAAAGCAAAAAGTCCCCCCTTCTCCTGCCCAGTGGGGTAAGGCTCAGCAGCGCTGTGGGGTCTGTCTTAGTTTACTGGGTCAGTGCTATGATGTTCACATTTCCACAGACTTTTATGCATTAAAATCCCACTGAAAACAAAGAGAGACAGAAGGGCCCTTCTTCCACGTGGGTTTCTAAAAATGGCCATTGTTCTCCTGAGATGCTGAGCCCACCTCCACTGTAGCTGCCCTCTATGGCAAATCCAGATGCAAACTTCTGCACAAACGCAGGGCTGGCAGCACCCAACACCCTGTGCTTGCCAGCCTCCAGCTGGCACTACGGTGCTCTCTTGAGCACCCACCAAACAGAGCAACATTCGCAGGACTCCTGCCAGACTGTCCTGGCCCCAGCAGTG